GTGTCATATTGTTTGTGCTTTTATTCTTTGACCTTGTCTTATCACTCTCCTTACCCATTGCAGCTCATGGCCTTTATTTTTTTTAATGCATAGCCAATAAAAACCATTGTCAGTAAAAAATATATATATAAATGCAATGACACTATACTTTAAAAAATACTGTTATGTAAATAAATGTAACTAGCTCCTCAGAATAACCCAATGCATTAAGTAGCATGATTAGAGCAAACCAATTTTAAGGATGAAGAAATTTAAATGCAATGATACTAATTGATTTTGTCACACTCAAAGTTGGTAATAGGAGGCCCAAGGTCACCATGATTCTATTTCTGTGCTTTCAAAATGTCACACTTGACTACTAAATGGTCTTTACAACAGCTGGGGCTTGTTAAGTCTTTTACATGGTATAAAAACTCTGCATCTTGTCTGTCATGTTATCTGGGACCTATGTGTGATTGCTCTTGGAAATAGGAGTGAAGAGCATCCTCTTGAGGACCTTCTATTAGATTCTCTTAAATGGTACAGAACATCCAGCCAAGAAAAGATTCTTGACTTATCACTGGCTGGTTTTCTGTACTTTCAAAAATTTCCTTGTATGTCAAGTAGTTGTTCTGTCACCCATAGACCAACTCTTCTCATGCAGTTGAATCTTTTTAAATTCAGTAAGATTTTATCCTGCTATAGACACTTCACTGAATTGTGAACCTTCTCAACCAAATTATTCATGTGACAGGAGACAGTGCATCATACTTAGAGGGTGTTTTCACTGATTCTTTTCTATGAACCCTTTATTGTATGTTTCAATATAGCCTTAGAAAGAGAAAATAAGTTAGATAAATCTGGAAAGTAGCAATTCTTCATAAGGGGGCAAAAATATGAAGGACAGAAATGTAAAAATTAAAGTTATAACAAAATTTAAGAATGTGATGATTTTTATACTTGTTCTAAATTTAGCATGTAAGCAAAATGTTATAAAATTAAAGATGAGAGGGCGCCTGGGTGGCTCAGATGGTTAAGCGTCTGCCTTCGGCTCGGGCCGTGATCCCGGAGTCCTGGGATCAAGTCCCGCATAGGGCTCCCTGCTCCTTGGGAGCCTGCTTCTCCCTCTGCCTCTCTCTCTCTGTCTCTCTCTGTCTCTCATGAATAAATAAATAAAATCTTTAAAAAAAAAAAATTAAAATGAGAACCTGAGGTTCACAAACATCAATTTTAGGAAAGACAACCTACTCCAATTTCAGGGGAAAATATAAATACTGTTTTTGAACAGAGGATATGTGTGTGTGTGTGTAGAGAGAGAGAGAGATAATGACTGAAGAGCCATATTACAAAACAAATAGGCATAATGTACTCTTGGGAAATAAACATTTAGAGAAAAATAAAGGAATTTTTTCTGAGTATGGTATTCAATTACTTTCATATTTAAAAAAATTACTTTGAGGTGACTGGGTGGCTCAGTCGTTAAGTGTCTGCCTTCGGCTAAGGTCATGATCCAGGGGTCCTGGGATCAAGCCCCGCATCACATCGGGCTCCCTGCTCTGCAGGAAGCCTGCTACTCCCTGACCCACTCCCCCTGCTTGTGTTCCCTTTCTCACTGTCCCTCTCTCTGTCAAAAAAAAAAATTAAAAATTTTTTAAAAATTACTTCTATTAGTAGTCACAGTGCTTTTCCTTGAAAAAAAAGTCAAGGGTGTTAAGTCCCAAGTGGGGAGTGGAAAGTAAGCACAAATATCACCTTTCCTACCAGAAATTGAAGGAAATGCTCAAGACACATAAGAGCAAAAAATTCAAGTTTAAAATCAATTCTACTGTATCAAAAATATACTTTCATTAAAAATTATATATTAATTCTAATAAATGTAAACTTTAATCTTTTTATTTAATTGTAAATCATTTGAAAAGTCATCATCAGGCTTTGATCAATCTATAGGTATGGACAAAACAAGGCAATGTTTCCCAGATTACAAACAGATGTGCTACAGGATAAATTAAAACATGTGTATGTGCTATGGTTTTGTCTATTAGTCAACAGCACAAAAAATGACATAGATGTGAAAACTCAATACCCTTAAATTGATGGTTGTTTCAATAGGATTAGGTTTTTAAATCTACTCTCACTTTAATTAAACCTTCAAATATCTTCTTTGAAGGTAAAGTCCAGAAAGAAGTTGCTATAGCCAATGTCAAAGAGGTTACTGCCTATGTTCTCTAGGATTTTGATAGATTCCTGTCTCACATTGAGGTCTTTCATCCATTTTGAGTTTATCTTTGTGCATGGAGTAAGAGAATGTGGTTGTCCAGTTTTCCCAGCACCATTTTTTGAAGAGACTGTCTTTTTTCCACTGGATGTTCTTTCTTGCTTTGTTGAAGAGTAGTTGATCATAGAGTTGACCCCATTTCTGGTGTCTCTATTCTGTTCCATTGATCTATGTATCTGTTTTTGTTCTGATACCATACTGTCTTGATGACTATGGCTTTGTAATATAGTTTGCAGTCAGGCATTATGATGTCCCCAGCTTTGGTTTTCTTTTTCAACATTCCCCTGGCAATTCAGGGTCTTTTCTGGTCCCATACAAATTTTAGGATTGTTTGTTTCAGCTCTGTGAGAAATGTCAGTGGTATTTGGATAAGGATTGCATTGAAAGTGTAAATTGCTCTGGGCAGCATAGACATTTTAACAATATTTTTTCTTCCAATCCATGAGCATAGAATGTTTTTCCATCTCTTTCCTTATATGGCCAACAGGATCCATCTCAACTCTTCACAATAATTTTTCTGACTTCATCTTCTATTACATACTGTCTGCTTTATTACCCCCCAGACCCACATATACAAGATTCTTTATCATTATTATTATTATTTCAATGCACCAAGTCCTTTCCCATTTATAAACTTCACACATCTTTTTTCATACATGTGAAGTTCTCTTATCCTAGCTCCACAAAATGCTAGTTCAATCATACAGGACTTTGTTACATTATGCTAGGTGGGCTCATTTTGGAAATTATATGAATGGAAAGAAAATTGTGTTTGATTGGGCAGCCAAAAATCTATGCTGTAGGCATTTATAAAATTGTTCCCATAATTAAACATTGGGTAGTCAGTTATGCAAATAGAAATATGCCCCTGTGGTTAAGGAATTTTCAATAAGACGGATATTAATGTTAGTTAAGTGATGGTCTATATCATAAACTTCTCATGAGCATACAGAACCAATATTCATATATATATCCCAATGTTGGGTACACATATATATTAGACACCGCTGGAGTAGTATTAAACTCCAGTCTGGTTTATGTTTCTACAAAGTGCCAGAGAGTTTGGTAGTACTTATTTGTTTGACATACTAACCACGGAATAATTATCTGATCGAATTTTCTGAGAAAGTAATCAGTGTCTTCCCACATCAGTCTCTGTGCTGAAGGGTATTTTTTTCGTTATCATGGCTCATGAAATTAACTTTACCTTAAGATGACACTAAATGGTTTGAGATATATATATATATATATATATATATATAATCTTTTCTAAATGTGCCTAATAACTTTTGTTTATTTGACTTCTACCATAAGACAGCTGCTACATGCCCTTGTAATTTAAATCTTGACAACAAGTACAGAATTACTTTAACTATCACTCACTGCATAGAATGGATAAATAAAACAGTAATTTACATGATTATGTAAAACATAGCATAGTTGATTTGCAAAATAACTCTGTTGATGAACCTCTTAGTTCAGGTTAGATAATATTAAACAACACAATTTTCCTGAGTGAACTCATTACAACAGATTGAATTTATAAACTACCCAGTGATGCTTATTAAGAAATCAGAAAATCTGACTGTTCAAGTCTGATCATATTCAAGCACAAGAGTGTGTTTGCTTCCTAACTGGTGAAACATAATGCGATTGCATGAGCTCAGAAGGGAACTAGAAATAAATGTTGGTTCTTTAAAAGAAAGGCAGTATTTTATCATTCATGAAAACCAAAGAAGGAAACAGTGTTACGTTTAACTCTCTGAAAATGGATTCCAAGAAGTTAAAATATTGACTATCATTCTTACTTTATTTTATATATCACTCTGTGCATCTTATATTTATTCTTTTTGAAAGCAAATTAATTTATAAAAAAAAGAGAGAAGAAAGAAAGAAAGAGAAAAAGAAAAAAGCAAAAGAAAAGAAAATTTACAGAAAAGTTTTGAACAGAAGAAAGGTGCCAAGACGCAGAGGAAGAGAAACACGGGACGGGACGTGAGGAGCAAAGGCCTGGTGGGAGGGGCCAGGAAGAACCGGTGGAGAGCCTGGAGTCCGGGCTGCCTTCAAGTCAAGGATGAAGAAGGGAAAGGTGGTAGGGGAGGCAGTGGAATCCAGGAGCAGAGCCGAGCTGCAAGCTGGGGGTAGGCACTACCCTGGGTCTGGCACCCCTCCTCCACTGTCCCCAAATCCCAGGGAACCCCCAGCTACCAGTCAAGGTTCTGATGGTCGGTAGAAGAGGTTAGAGGGGTGACCCACCAAGTCATAAGAAGGAGGTGCTTAAGTGCTTTTTGAAAAATTCAGGTTTTTACAACTCCCCCTCCTCTCTAGCTCCCCTCTCCATGTCTTCTAGGAGCCCAGGGACAGGGCCCAGGGAGGAGGAACAGGGCCCTTTTTTCCTCTATTACCTACCACAGGAATCCCCAAAATACGTTTCCCCACCAAATACACATACGCTGACATCAACTACGCAGGTGACTTTTAAAAACACAAAACTGACATTCAGGGGGAAAGGGTCATTGGCTGAGCTGGGGTGGCCTAAAACAGCAACACTGAGGAGGCAGCAGGAGAGATTAGTAGGAGTAAACTGGGGTTGGGGTGGCTGAGGGGGTTTGGGAGTTGATTCGGTCACTAACGAGGGACTGGAGGAGACAGATTTTGCACCCTACTCTATCCCCAGAGCTCTCCCAGAACCTTAATTCCCCTCTCCTGTCACCTCCCTCCTCCAAAAAATGTAGAAGTTGGATTATTTTTTTTTTAGTGGTTGGAGGGAGCTCCAATGTGGCCTTCTTATATCTCTCTGCTTCCTTTAAAGGGCTTCATTGTTTTTTTTTTCCATCCATAAAAAATGCAGTAGTTTTGAGGGGGTGCACCTTTAAAAGTGGTTAATTAGAACCTTGTATAAACACCTTTCCCCAGCCCTTTCTTTGAGGGCAGCATCCCCATCCTATCTGCTCTCCCAGACATTAGAAACATCTTTTAAACAGAAGTCCTTGAATAATCCGATATAAAAATGCATGCCTCTGACAGGCATGGTGGGGGCTTTGGAGGGGCAGGAGGAGCTTTCCTTACGTAGTGATGAACTCTCCAGGCTGGGGAAGGGTCCCAGTGGTGGGGAGAGGGCTGTTCCTGGAACCTTGATCTCCATAGGGGGTGAGGGAGAGAGATGTCTGGGTGGCTCCTCACTGTGGAGGTGGCACAGGGGTGACTATGCCTGGGCTCAGGGCCGTGGGGTCTGGAGGCAGGGGGGTACCTGGGTCTGGCAGTGGGCTGGCACTGGGCAGGAGGTTGTCCTGAACAGCTGCCACAATGGCAGGGCTCTGGGCTGCGGCGGATCCGAGCCCTGGCCTGAAAGGCAAGGAAGATGGCATGGTGGTGGTCGCCGGCAGATATGGATGTAGAGGGTTCGCCATGGACACAGGCAGGTTAGGTGGGGGGAGAGTGCCTGGGGCAAACGGGAGATGGTGCTGATGCCCATGCAGGTTAGGAGGAGGGGGCAGGTTAATACTGATGGAGTCGGCTAGACTACCAAATGGGATGATGGATGGAGCGGGAGGAGGAGGAGGCGGCATGCCAAAAGGCAAACCCAAAGGAGAATTACCCGCCACGCCTGGGTGCCCGCTGCCTGGCACTGCCCCTGGCATCGTTGCGGGAGGAGTTGGTTGGTTGGGGAATGGCAAGGGGCCATGGGGCCCGGGGGGTACCCCCGGTGGGACAAAAATTTTAGACAGGCTATGGGCATAGACTTTGTAGAAACACTATAGGGCTTAAAACCATGGCACTGCTATATGACTTCACAAATTCTCTGGACCTCAGATTTCCTGACTATAATATGTAGAAAACAATAATACAAATGTTGATTTTGCATTAAGTAATATATGCAAGAGCAATATTAGATCCAAAAAACACTCAACAATGTTAGATGTTCTAGTTTACTACCCTAGTCTTAGCTAATATAATCTCATGCTGCCACTAAGATTTTGGTAGAATTTTTTACTTCATTTTATAAATGAATTAACTAAGCTGTAAACAGTTTAACTTGCCCATGTTCCTTCGACTAGTAATTTTTAGATTCAATAATTCAAACGTAGTAATTTCAGTTGTAGTATGTCCTCTTCCAATTTAGTGTGATAGTGAATAGTCTAATGGCATAGTGTAGTAGTCCAAACAAATAATAGAACTAAATTTTAAACAGGTTAATAGTGAAGGTGACACTTAAATTTGAACTCAAAGGACAGTTGAGAATTTTCGAGGAAGACCAGGTAACAACAGTTTCCTAGAAGAAAGAATTTAAGAAGATAGTCCTATCATTCATTGAGGTAACATTGAATAATTCACAAGGACAATGACAGAGCAAAGTCAGTGGAGTCTATGCACTGAGCATGTTGGTCCAGATAGAGGCCAAGTTATAGAAAGTCTTATAAACAATATATATTTAAATGTAAGGACTCCCCACACACACTGTTATTCATAATTAATTATCAATTTTGGCTTGTAGATTTATTTCAGATTTCTTAGATCTCATGGCTCAACTAGAATGGAAGCTCTTTGAAGGTTAGACCATATGCCTTTCTATAGCTTTCATAGCACTGTGTCAAACTGTGATATTATTTTTTTTCACTTACTGATTTTTGATTGTTTACTCTGTCAAAAAAACAAGCCAACAGGCTCAAAATGTAATTACTTACCCTAAACCTTATGTCACCAAATTGAGACTTACTTAGAGTTTTGGCCGTCCCAAAAATGGAAGCTTAAATCAATCAAGAATCACCTGATCAGCACTAGTTATGTAATCTGCCTGATAGATGCCTGCCATCCCCCTAAATGAAAGTAACCTTGTAATAACCAACCTGTTTTTTGTCTAGTATCACTTCCTTGTTTCTGGTCTCTTCTGTCCATAAATGTCTTTCATTTCATACAGCTCTTTGGAGCTCCTTTCTATCTCCTAGATTAGGTGTTACCGAATTTAAGTCAATTCTTGTTCAAACTCTTAAAATTTTTAATATCTCTCAGTTTATCTTTAAACAATTCTGGTGTCAGAAAGGGAGACCAAAGAAGACCCAAATAGCCGCCAGCCAGGAGCAATAAACAACCAGCCCCCTTGAGTTCATTGCTTTCCCCCTGCCTCTGGAGGTGGTAGGTAAGTACCCTCTCAGATCCTAGCTCCATAATTTTTGAATTAGGAGATTTCAGACTTTATTTGAGCATTTCTTTTTCAAGATGAGATTTGGAAACACTGGAGTTAGACTGGGTCCTACTTAAAAACCAGACTTGGTCTAGGTCAGACTTGGACCAACTTGGAAACCAGACTGATCCAACTTAAACTGGACTGGGTCTAGTGCAAGGCATCAGGTTAATAAAATTTTGTTTTGAGCCTAAACAAGCAAGTTAATTTTATTAGAGATAAGCTTGAATTACAGTGGCCACAGTGGAGAATTAACCTAGATATGTTTATTCATTTATGAGATGCCCTAGAGAAAAAGGGATCTCAGCCAAGCCCTCACCATAAACCATAAAGGGAAAATTATTTTTCCACCTCTACAATTTCTGGTGACCAGAATGAGACCCAATAGCACAAACCCACTCACTTCAGAGCCTACAGATGGACTCCTAGGAAAGTGACAGAAGCTGGCAGTGGGTAAAAATTCTTATCAAAATCAGTGTCCCTAGATCTCTATCTGTGGTACCTGGTTGAGAAAGGAAGGTAAAATATTACATTGTCCCTTCTTTTCCTTTCCTGTCCCTGTCCCAAATTCAGATTGGCAGACAAAAAACATTTGTAACAATTAGATCTTTTAACTGTCTCATGAATTTGTGTTTTCGTACCTAATGGTTGTTGAGACTTCTTCTCTCAGGGACAGCTATTGCCTTCGTGTTTGTCTCATTTTGTGTCCTGAGAACTTGGCTTGGCAACTGTAGATTGGAAGCCCCCAAATATGGCCAGAAAAAATGTGGGTTTCACACCATTTGCAGCTAGATATGGCTGGACAGAAATGTGGGTTGCATTCCATTTGTAGTTAGGGTCTTTCTGACTATTCTTGCAGGGGACTTGTCTTAAGTCATTTTTTTCTTTTGGTTATCTTTGGGAATGGCTCTGGATCTTGAGAAAGTAGTATCTTTTTGCACTCTCTTTGGGGATGGTTCTTACATCCATGGAGTTATTCTATATTGCCAGGAATATTCTACTGTTTGTCTCAGTTGAAACCTGACAAGATATTAAAAAAAATAATAAGTATCTGTATGGTCAGAAGTTAGCCAAATTGGAAGCTGATATTCAGAGCCTTATAGGAAGTTTTTTTAAGGCCTTCTCCCTAAGCTAAAATGAAACTAGAGGCAAAGGCAAAGAAAAATATTCTAAATATTTTATGGAAGAATTTACTAAATTATTCCAAAGATACACAGCTTTAACTCTAGAACATAGAAATCTTTTCATTTCTGTCTTAGTTGAAGATCTTCTTCCCAATATAAAATAAATTTAAGTTAATGTAGTTAGACGGGTTGGTCAGTGTCCAGAGATTTGTAAAACCAAAATCTTTGAGGAATTAAAAACAACTTTACTTGTCTTAACGACCTGAATTTTTACAAGAACAGAAATACAGGTCTAGAAATAGTTCAAAGGCTACCTAACCTTTTTACCAATCCCAAAAACTCCCCTGTCCAAAAGGCTTGTAGATACTATGAAAGATCTGGACTTGGGGGGGTTGGGGAGGGGAGTCCTTCTTGAGAGAATTTGCATTCTTTCTCTGTGCCTTTTGAAATGTCAGTATTCTCCCTGGTCTTCTCTAGGAACCAAGGTAATTCTTATCAGAAGGAGAGGGGGGTGGAAAGGAAAGATTAGTTTGAAAACTAGGCCCATGAATAATCTTAAAAGTACCTTTCACAATTATTAGTAAAAAGTTATCTGAGCAGGTAATCTTAACTCACTCCATCTGCCAGAAATATAATTTGAATCTAACTATTCTTTTATAAACTAGTGAATTTTGCATTTTCAGATATGTCTTGTGGCTAAAATTTTTTAAACAAAAGCCATAAAATCTCTTTACAACTATCTATATGTTTATATCTATGTAGGTATGTCATAGATGAGTGATTTTTTTTCAACTTCTGGGTGGTATTGCCAAAATTAATTAGTAAAGAGCTCTATCTAATTAGCTTAAAGACAAACAAGTCTACTCCCAGAAATATAGAAAAAAAAAGGTTTTTCAATTTTACATGATCTAGGAGAATCTTCAGTAAATAAAGGTAACTAAAGCTTGTTGGCTTAATTAAATCAAGCATGTCTTTAGAGTTATCAGCATTAAATATAAGACTTATATTTTACTTTGGTTTACTAAAAGTCAAATACTGTTACAGTATTTGTCAGCAAGAAAAAAAACCTTATGATGATGCTTAGCTGTTTGATGGCTCATGAAATTGTCATAATTATTAAGAACAAGTAAAAAAAATAGATGTAGGGGCGCCTGGGTGGCTCAGGTCGTTAAGCAACTGCCTTCGGCTCAGGTCATGATCCTGGAGTTCCGGGATCGAGTCCCGCATAGGGCTCCTTGCTCAGCAGGGAGTCTGCTTCTCCCTCGGACCCTCCCCCCTCTCATGCTCTCTCTCATTCTCTCTCTCAAATAAATAAATAAAATCTTAAAAAAAAAAAAAATAGATGTAGGTAAGATAAGTTCTCTACAGAAGACCTAAAGATACTTGGGTCTATTAATAAACATGTTTTGCTTTTGGAAAATTGACTTTGAGGAAGTATATGCTTCTAAAAATTATGAACCATATTTGTAAATTTGCAAATCCACAGAAGACTAGTGTAACAGAGTCCACAGTTGCTTCCTTCTTAGCTTTCACAAGGAATTAGGATTCTAAGAGTTAAGGATTCTAACCAATGTCTGTAATTAAGACTACTTAGAAATAATAAGGGTGAAAGGAAATAACTGTGCATGAAAAGGAAGTAATGAAAGTAAAATAAATGGTTTCAGAATGAGAAAGAGAAACTTAAAAGTCTTTCATTTGGTACAGCTCCTCCGAGCTCTTCTCTGTCTGCTAGATTGGATGCTCCCCAATTCAAATTCATTCTTGCTCAAATAAACTTAAAATATTTAATAGGCTTCAGTGTATCTTCTAACAACTCTCTCCCTTTGATTTTTTTTCTCTTTCAAGCACGGTATGAAGACTTTTATGTGTTTTATCTGTGTTATCTTTCAATACTTTCCTCCAGAACAGGGATTATGATATTAACTCTACACGTGGGAAACCAGAGTTAACAGAACTTTGTGTAACTTGCAAGATCTCATATGACTGGGAAGTCAATGAACAGATATTTGAATGCAGGCCTCCCTCAGGTCCAGGACCCATGGAGGTTAGTGTAAGCCTTGACAGGAATGCATGAAGGCTTGTTCTGATCATCCCTAAAGTGTCACACAGAAGGCCCCACTTTAGATAACTAGTAAAGGAGACCCATGCACAGCAGGGTCCACTTTAGGTAACTAGTAGAGATGACCAGCACACAGAATGTACCACCTCAAACATTTCAAAGAAAGTTGCATACAATGCACTTCTACCCTAAATATATTTATATATATTTTTCTAAAATTTAATATGTTGCATTGCCTTTATATTTTTTCTTATCTATTAATTTGTAAAAAGATATTTCTAAGATTACTTCTTGTGATATGTATTGGATGTGTATATATATAAATATAGATGTAGATATAAG